GCATCACGAAAAATTCAAAGGATTTAATCTAGTGTTTTTTAAAGTACTAAACTTTTAAATAATAATCATTTAATTTATATCCTATAATATAGTAAAATTATTTTAAATTATTCTATAATTATATAATTTTGATCGACTTTTAACTAATACGTTTTATTACATCGAAATGTGTATAAATATATGTACTAACTTTGTTTTAATATAGTAAAACAAATGAAAAATAAAATATTTTAAATGAAATGTAAGGTTCAGATGAATGTGATTCACAGCTTCAGTCAGAAATTTCACTATTCAAAAGTAAAACTCGCTTGTATTCTTTATTATTTTACTTATTAGATCCTGTTGTGAGAAAATAAGAAATTGCCCATATATATATGAATCTGATATGGATAGTTTCAGCATTAAATATTGTCAATTATTGCCTGGAGTTAAAAAAAATTGTAAGAATTTTCAAAAGAAAATCAAACATTTGGTTATTACGTTAATGAATATACGACAAACAAAATTAAATATCAAATTAAATAATAATTCGTTTATTTTATGACTGACTTATACAAACAATAATTTAAACTTAAAGCTTAAAATCATCATCTATTAAAATTTATTGCATTTAATAATTATATTTATCACCTATAAATTATATAGTCATAGAGATTATATGTCGAATAAAATAGCACGGTTTTCGTATAAAATAAATTTGATCACTCAAAAAATTATTGTGTTCAAGAAAAGAAAAAATGATATCAGTTTCAGGTGATCGAGATTCCATTATCTTGTGCTTTATATTTACTGTTATTATACTACCATAAACGGAATTTTAATATAATATAACTTTTTTTTTTTATGTCTTCGAACTGTATGTAAATTGAAAATATATTCAAAAATCGTTTACATTAACATATGGTTTTAAAACGATAAAAAGAGACCTTTTTTACAGTTTTATTTAAACGACGTTGCTTAGACGTTGCACCGGGAAACAAATAAATCATATTACGCATTCAGAATTTAAAATAATAGAAAAAAGTTATCACAGAAGTGTTTACGTGCATTTCCCAATGAAATGTTTATGAATGATTTTTATGGAATTCAATTATGGTCACAAACAAGAAAAAACATGGCTGTGAGAAATTTAGTGACAAATGTATTTGTATAGGTGCACGTGGAGAGGAAACGAGAGCATTTTTATTGTTGTAGAAAAAATACAAACAAAAATATGAAGGTTTAACCGTAATTTATATAAAAAAAGAACAAGATAAGAAGAAGAAAAACATTAAAATAATAATCGTAGATTTTAAGACGTGTGTAAAACGATAAATACAACGTTGGAGGGAATGAAGAAAAAAAAATGAAACGTTATACCTTCCTCTTATATTCCGTTGATCTACCATCATATTTTATTATCACTACAATTTGTTGTTTCCCTCTTGACGTGGTAAGTTCGATAAAGAACACATGGTAAGTTTAGGCAAGCAAACGTTGTCAATTTGTCAACATAATATCATATTATCTTGTTTGAAAACGAGTTTACCACGAAAAACATATAAATCGAACGCCACTACCGTATAAACATAATTAAATAATATTGCGATGATATTTGTATGCACCACAAGATTATCGCTGATCTCAGGATACGAATTGATTGCTTTTGGTCCGAATTGAACCGTATCATAAACAGTATCATCGCAGCTGAAGTCTGACATTTTTTTTCGAACACAAAAACATATGCATATGGTAGGAACACCCATTCGGGATCATTGTCTTTCACTCGGTATGACCTTTTTCCCGGCTAAAACGCAATTACCGGAGAATGTATTATGTATGCGTGTGTGTGTGTGTGTGTGTGTGTGTATATTATAATAATCAATATGCGTTTTCAGAATAAGTTTGAATGGGTTACTTAGTATTATACGTGAAATTAAGAATACACCGTATGATACAGTATTAATTAAGAATACATTCCGAGAAAAGTAAACATGAACTGAATGAAACATGTTTTAATAAGTGAACCGTAGTTGGGCATGATACTTAGCATATTATGGCATTGTGTGTGTACTCGTATTTGAAGAGTATTATCGTTTTTAGTGGATGTAAAGAACACTGCAACCTCAGAAAACACGTGATCCAAACGACATAGTAGTACAAAGTGTTAAGTTCAAAATTAATGTAAGCAACGACATCGAACGGAACGATGAATTCGGCACGGTGAAACGTAATCACAAAAATAGAAACATAACTTTTTGGTGTCTTTAAAAGTAATCATAAATATTTAAAATAGAATCATATATAAATAATAAACTGCGCTACAAAATATTTTATCTAAAGTACAATGAAACATTGAAACTAAAATTCAAGGAAGAATATAAAGTGTTGTAAATTGTGAATGCTGGGTTAGGGAACGTTGTATTTTCGTTATATATAAATTTCTATAAATTCTATAATTATATATAAACTGTCTAAATATTTTTCTGGTTAATATGAAATCTTATTAACTTTATTTTTATTATTATTTAAGAACTGAAGAACTGAAGCTCAAATATTTATTATTTAGTGAAGCCAGACAAGTTTGAAATATTCGACACCTGCAATCTATTTCACATTAATTTCATTTAACATAAATATGCCAGACGTGTATAATATACCCACATTTTAAAGTGCATAAATTGAATATATTTCATTGGTGAAAATGGAAAAAAATGATAGTTTACGTTTATCGTTTAATTAAAAAATTGTGATCATGTTACAGTGCCGTAAATCGTTATGCGTAATAAAGCAGTTTTTGAAAAAAAAAAATTTAATTTTGTATAAAAGATTCCATAACGATAGAAATTAATAAATAATTAATTAAATAACCCAATATATATGGTTTTTGAGAGTAAACAAGTTGCCATTACATGGTTACAGACTTTGTATTGAAAATGCATCAATGATTAATAATTTATACGAAAATGATTTGTTATTTCGTGTGTATATTGTGCACACAATGGTGATTATTTAGTTACGATTTGGTATACTGAGATTCAAAATACACTATGGCTTTAAATTTAGTCGTAGATTCTAAGATCAATATTAATTTGAGAAAAAAAAAATCATACGATTTAAAATATGCTTAATTAAAAATTTAACTTTCTTTAGTAAATTTTCTGGTCTTAAGTATAACAAAAACGCAAATGTGAAAATTAGTTTTTATAAAACAGTATTTATAATAATATATAATTCTTTGTAACATTCATTTAATTTAATTTAATTTTAATCTTGGACATAAAATTAATCTTAAAAAATATTCACTTTCTTAATATAGTTGAAATTATTTATCCTGGCACCAATTATTTCAAAGTTATCAAATTTATTGCAGTCGAGATGTTTCCCTTCATCGAAAAAAATAAATTTTCGAAATAAATTCAATATAAGCTTATTTTGGTTATATATTTGTATATGAATTACTTTTATATTAAAATATTTTACGCAGTTGAGAGCTATTTCCTAGAAATATTAATTTGAATAATATTTGATAGAAATGTTTCCTAGAATTTATTAGGTGATTATGTTTATCATTAAATTTTTTTGACATCAATATGAAAAATATGAAACGCAACAAATGTATAAAAAGATAATTGATAATAAAAAAAAAAAAAAAAAAATTTAAAAAATAATAAATAAATGCCGCATTATTCAAGGGAAATACAAATTTAAATGAAGTATTATAAGATGAAAAAAAATGTCCGTAAAACATATTTTAAATAATTTATCATTATATATTATAATGGCTAACCAATAACTGAAGAGATAGTGCCTTAAAAAAATGTCATAAAATTAAAAATATATTTTTTTGTTTTTATAATTTTCTTAAAAACAGTGCGTATATAAATGCGCATAAATCTGATGGTAAAATGTTATGATTTGATGGCGAGAAACCTGTAGTTTTTCGTATTGTCATTTACAAACTACTACCAATCAATGAGTCAAATTTGACAAAGGCATTCTCGACTCGAATCTTTATCATATCAAAATCGCGTCTGTATACTAATTGTTTTCGTACAAAGAAAGTTAATACTGTTTTCATATTTGTATCTCAACAAAGTTGTATTTTATTCTTGCTGGTTTTGAATCAAAATGTGAAAGTTTTTGATATACAGCTAGTATTATATATAAAATAAACTAATAAAATCGTTCCGATACGATAGTGGTATATTCGGTGAACTTGAGAATCAATTGTGTATGTTAAATAGTACTGAAGTTTTAATAACTGATTATATAACATGTGATACAAATACCGATACATTGCGACAAGATAATACAAGTAGTCTAATTTAGAAAAATTCCAGATTATTACGCATCGCTACCATAATGTTTAAATACTCTGAAAGCGCACTGAACCGTAATATGTACATATATTTCATTTTTGTTTTTCATAATTGTACCCGTCTATTATATACATTATCGACATATTATAAAATACGTATAGTCATTATTATTATAGTATAACTTATTTATGGTTTTATTTATGTATGTTATGTATTAACGGTGTTCTGCTCTTTTACAAAATATATATTTAAAATAGAATCAAACTAAACAACAATAAAATAAAAATAATTATAATAATAAAAATATAAAAAAATTAAAATGGTCGTATTTAAATAAATGCAGAATTAAGATGAATATACAATATATAATATATGAATATATAATATCACATGGTATAGCAAATTATAAAAATGTATTTATTTATGTATATTTATTTTGTTTTATTTTTTATTTTTGTTAATTAATTAATAATATATTTTAGTAAAATCACTGATTTTGTTTTCAAACAATTACGAGAAAGAACATAGATATTCAAATGTAAAGAAATTGTATTAGCTAAAATTAATGATCGAGGAAGAAAATAATTTTTACTACTATTAGTTTTATAATCAGGAATTAAAAATAAATCTGAATTTCGTGTATTTTTATATGGAATTCGAATACTAATTTCAGATAATAACTCATTATGTATTACTCACCGACGACTTGGAGATGAATGTACTGGCTGATATGGGGCGTTGTGGATATCTGGCATTCGTAAATTCCCGAGTCTCTGATCTGAGGGTATTTAATCTGCAGCGTCCAGTCCTCGCTGGGCGGTTGATTGATGGACCGGAACCGTTGGTCTCCGGTGTACGTGTACCGACCCACGGTCAGCAGGTGAATGTCCCGGTGCCTGACCCACGAGACCTGAAACGAAAATAAAACCGCAGCCATTGTTAATTAATATCGATTAAAACCATGTATACATTGTTCAACGCGTATACCTAACATTATAAGCAGCATAACGGTTATAAAATATTTAGGTATTTGGGTTGACATAGAGTTGGGGATAAATTAAAAAATGTTACAATTTAGTATTTATACGAGGAAGCCAGAACACAAAACAAAGGGCATGATAGAGCCTATAATGGGAGATAATCACGAGTTTGAAAATTGAAGGGGAGACCTGTATATTTTGTTTCGTATCTGAGGCACCGGAGATGAGTGGCGAGGGTTACGTTGGATAGGGAAATATAATGACAGAAGAGAACTTTACAGAACAGTACAGGACTTTTTCGAAATCAAGGTTGTAAATGTAGGAATAGTTATGGTAGATGCAAGAGGAATAGATAATGGGGCCAAGTTATAGACGGGAAAAAGAAAATATGGTGTTCCTGGAAATATAGAGAGAACGGAAAACCATGATTTGAGAGAGATAATGGAGGGTATTAACATGTTGTGAAATGAGTAGGATGGACTTAAAAATCTTGAAATGAAATTTACCACCGGCGTCGTTAAATATTAATTAAAACTAACTCTATATTATACAGTGCTTAATTTTATTGTCCGCAACAAGTGACATTTAATTGATGCGCTACTTTGGTACTTGTAACGTACATGCTTGCGTACTTAAAACACAACATTAAAGGTGATTTGACCGCGTTCTTCAATCGTTTGACCCGAACGTAGATCTATGATTGCTAAATATACCAACAATATATATAAAAAATATGTATGGAAATTACTTTATAAATTAACTGTTTTATATTTTATCTATTGATATTATTATTTAATGTTTTATTAATTAATTATAATATACCAACTATTAGCAAACTGTATATTACATGATTTTGTAGAATTTTCGTAATGCATGTAGGTTATTTATATGTTTTAAAAACACAAAGGTCGAACTGAGATTTTTACCACCTTAAAAAACTATGCGTGTAAAAGAAAAAGAAAACAATTCAAACGGAGTCTCTGTCGTGGCACATGCGTTACTCATTATATCGTATTATTATGCATTCTTATGCACGTATAATATACATATAAATATAATATGTATGTATTTATCGAACAACATCGTAATTACCAGTGCAAATTGCCAATTTGTTCGGTATTGCGTCGGCGCAAGTGGGTGGGCCCTACCACTGGGTGAATCGCGTTTTCATGATGATCCGTTCTCTGTTCTTGGCGTTCTCCTGAAAATTTTTGCACACCATTCGTGCACTGTCTGCCAAGCAAAGTTTCATTAGCTTTAGATATCCCCCTTTCTACCCCTCTTATAGTGATGACTGAAACACAAACGGTGCTCCCTTCTCACGTCACTTTCCTTCACCATCCACCTACATCTCCACACTCGAGTCCGCTTCGCCCTATCGCCGAAACTAGCGACTAACATCTTGACAGTTTCCCCAGAAATTATTGCAACGTAATCCGTTTAATAACCAATTACAAGGTGCGCGACACGTGGGTGTACATCTCACCATGCCTTGAACTACTTTGATCTTCTCGTCTGCCACCAAAAGACAATAGCAGGTGAATGAACCGCTCGAAATGTGGTCATTATTATTATATCCACATAAACACATTGCGTTGCATAATTCTATTTCTAAAAAGGTATACTGTATTGTTCTTTCGGGCTACGATTTGATCTTCGTTCAGTAGCCTACTCTATAGCCTATCGTATTGGTTAACTGCAGGGTTTCGGTAGAAAACCTTATAGGATACCGCATCCGTTTTCAACTAATTCGTGTCGGAATCGTACACTGAATTCTAAAATCGATTTTTTCCACTACAGGATTATATCTCCTGATGTTTAGGGGTCCTGCTTCTTTCTTCGTCAATAAGCAATTTCTTAATCATTCTATCATGAAAGCGATACCACAGAGAAGGTGAAAGATCTTATGAAAAATATGTACAGTAAAATAGTCAATTATAAATTTGAATAGATAATTATGTCTAAGAATCATTTAGTACGATATTAGGTAAGATTAAGCAAGCAAGCAGACAGGAAATTTTACAGTGTCGCGAGGTCTTTCTCGATGTTTACCAATCGATTTAAAAACCATTAATGTAATATTGGTCTACTAAAAAATCGCATCGTTTTGAACCAGAAAGTATATGTATTCATTTAGGATATTTTTTCTTATATATTTCTGTCTCCTTCTTGATAATGATGTAGCCATCAATGATTACGTGTAAATGTCTATGATAATATTGGGTGGAACCGAATCGAGAGGAAAACTTGAAAGGATTATCGGGCACGTGCCGTGGTGTTATTTTGTATCCAACGAATTCGACGATAACCGTACGCCGGACTTGGCAACCCGTTCCGCTCGATATGATAAAGAATACATAAATGCGGCTATATAAACGTGCGGCTCGCAGCGAGTTCATTGTGAAATCATACACGTTAACGATTCCGTCATTTTCGACCGCTCCGCTAAAACTTTTCTCGTAAGTCGTATATCTTATGATATAAGCTCGCTAACTTGTTAGATATTGTTTTATGGGGATTTTATTTAAAAGGCGCTGGTTCCATGGGAACTTACAAAATTGCCAAAAGTTTTCACGTCGGAAGTGTGTAGTATTATGGAAGTTTTTTTAATTTTTTTTTTTTTTTAAGTCTTTTGTTTTCACCCAATCATCTGCAATAATTACGACAGTTCATTTTTTTATTCTGAATTCATATCCATGTGCATTTTTGACGATGTCAACTAGCTAACAATAAAGCACAGTAAAACGACTAAATGGCAAATGGAGAGTGAGAGTGAATGACGCATTATATTTACTATTCGAGACATACTCTTTCGGAATTTACGTTATTGTAGAAAGTCGTACAACAATGAGAACGTGTAGAAAAGGTACATTGTTTTTCTCTTGATTTACCTTACACATATTATTATTATTATGCTCAGCTGTGTGGCCTGAACACAACGAAAACGAGACAAGGAAAGTATATTGAGTTAATTATTTATTTTTGGTGGGCTTTACGTGATACATTTTAAAATACACTATATTGACCTTAGAACTGTTTACGCATAATATATATACAACGGCACATATGGAGTATATATGTTATATAGACAGTTAAAGTAGTTTACAAAAAATTAAAGGAAAATATAGTAGAACTTTATTTTCGTATTATTTTATCTCTTTGCCAAGTTCATTTTCAATTAGAGGATTCAACCGAAAAAATACATTTTCACAAATATCTCCGAAAGTCAAAGAATAAACTATACGAACGAATATTTATATATTTTCTTACCTAAAATTGATGGGACATAAAGGTAAGTAAATCTTAATAAATTAGTAGAACACTGTATGCAATCATGACGGTTGAAAAATCAATGAAATAAACTACAATTTCTTAAAAATTATAAACTGATTGTGCTTAAAATATTGAAAATAATTTGGAGGAGCTGAAATCGAGTGAGCACTGTGGGGAAAATATAACTTCATTACTTAAATTGATTATTCTATAATATACTTAATTTACATGTGAATACCAAAGATATTATCTAGTCAAATCTTTTGAATATTTTAGCTAAGTAAATACATTTTGAAAATTTTTTGTGTGTTATTAAAATTATGCAACACGTTTTTACAATAATAAATGTAAACGAGTATAAACTTGCAAAATACTATATAATACTAGTGGGATGCATTTAACATACGTTTCAGTATTTTTTTTTATCACAGAACATCTACAACAGGTAAATCCAAAAATCTTCTAAAATTGTTTTCAATTTTAGGTCCAAAAAGTTTCTGTTTGTACATTTCGTTACAGATTTAGCGCTAAAAAAGTCTAATATATTAACAAGAAAAAAAAAGGATTGTGAACTTTATAAATTCTACATTTAATGCAGAACCTAAAATCGAATCAAAGTCGAAGTAAGTTCTTGACTTATTGACGGCTAAAATAATACTTAAAAGAACTTAGCCTTGTAGTCTTTTTCTTAGGTGGTTTTGTTAGTGTTAATACTACGAAAAAATACATTTATCATGGTGGTGAAATGTACTTTCAAATAAGTATAAGTTTACCAAAATTCAGCAATGTGATTTAGTACATACATAGAAAACAGATATATAAAATGCAATCATTTAATTTCATGGTAGCTAAGAAAATAAATATAAAATATATATTTATTTATGAAAACAGAGTTTGAGAATTTATGAGACAACACTAAATCATCGAAAGGTTACTTTTACCAAAGTAGTGAACATATAACGTAGACAAATTAAGTAAATTTCTTCAATTGTTGTATTTAAAAAAACATATTATGCAATATAATTTGATATGAATAATGGTAAAAAAAAAAAAATAAAAAAATATACACTTTTATTTATGAAATATAATTTAAAAAAAAATAAATATTATATTTACAGGTAAGAGGTTCTAGTAATAATATTGATTATTTTAAATTATATAATCATTATGCTCAATATATCTTGAAAAAAAATATTTTCAATATTTATGTAAAAATTCTTTTGACGTTAGAACATAACTTAAAAATATTTTAATATATGCTATTTTTAAATGTTGTGATTTCAAATTAAATGTCTTAGTATTAACAAATTATATAATGTTGACGAGTTACATAATTGTTTTTCATTTTTAAAACAAAGAAATCATCTTGTATTCACCCATTTTTGAACTAATAATTACTCTTTTACTTCAAAAATAATAACTTTGACTTTATTTATGCTATATTTTATTTTCTGTTGCTAATTTGATTGACTATACTCATCGATTTAAATTAATGCAAATTAAACAATTAATTGGTAAATAGAAAAAAAAATATTTTAATGCAATTATAAAAATATCATAGTATCATAAATTTAAAACTGAATAATTTAATTTCAACTTTCCACTATTAAAATATATTAATTGCTCTTTCGGGATATTGTTTACCTAAATTAAAAAA